CGTTTTCCTTTTATTATTTATTTTTCAGTCCTCTGGGATATGGTATCATCAAGGTAGTTTAATAAAATGTGTCATTACGATCTAGATGAAAGACATTTATTAAATCTTTCAAAAAGGCATTGGAGCACGATTAATTTAAATGGTAAACGTGTTTGTTTGTAGTGAAGCATAAAGCTATCTGTGCTCTGCCTATCACGGGTATCGAAACCCACTTTCTATCGTTGTAAGTCCCCAGACATACCGACAAGAAAGCACGTTAGCTATCGCTTTGTTTTCTTAGCCAACAATTCATGCCCAAGTTGTAAAACAGTGTAAGCACGTGAGGCCAAATAAAGTTTATTTTCTGGTAGTCCACGCAGAAGTGGTCCTCTCAATCTTTACAAGTACAACGATTGCTACCCCTACTTGCTCATAGTTTGTATGAGAATTTGTTTTAGAATTCGTAAGCACATGGGCTAAACTGTGTATAGCCTTCCATAGTTTTGAACATGCAGACTCTTAGGCTACTCTTATCTGACCAAATGGTGGAGTCAGACCATAACTCTTCTATCATATCGACGACCCTGATGCAAGGAACCCGCTAACCACAACAACAAAAACTAAAACCCTTTACAAGAGACAATTTTTTGTGATGTGTTTATAGTACGTAATTTTTGTCACTTTTAAACTCTATTTTTTATGTTAAAATTGGATAAAAATAAATATATTTCTAACAAATCGTATTCTGTACCATTTGTAAATACTTCATGTTTAATTTGTAATTTTTTGCGAAATCAAATATAGAACTTTAAAAAACTAATTAATTAAAAATATAGCTTATGGTTGCCATAGACAAATAGAAAAATGCCTAGATATTAATGCTTCATTTTTGGAAATATTTTCAATAGCACTATGAAGAGTTCCCCCAAGTTCACTTTGATAATATTACTCATGCCAGGTAAGAACTTCCTTTGGTTACAATTTCAGTTATGGCCTTTCTTGTAAGTTTAGTAAACGTAACATGTGCTAGTTTGTAACGAGTCATATACTAATTTCTTTATCCTACCCTATGCATGTCTCTGGACAACTTTAGGTTGATATTGGACATCTTTAGTTAGCATTTGAAATCTTTAGATTGAGTCTCGGACATCTTTAAGTTGACATTGGATATTTTTTAAGTTAGCTCTGGACATTTTTAGATTGACATTGGACATCTTTAAGTGGACATTGGATATTTTTTAAGTTAGCTCTGGCCATTTGTAGATTGACATTGGACATCTTTAAGTTGACATTGGATATTTTTTAAGTTAGCTCTGGCCATTTGTAGATTGACATTGGACATCTTTAAGTTGACATTGGATATTTTTTAAGTTAGCTCTGGAAATTTTTAGATTGACATTGGACATCTTTAAGTGGACATTGGATATTTTTTAAGTTAGATCTGGACATTTGTAGATTGACATTGGACATGTTTAAGTGGACATTGGATATTTTTTAAGTTAGATCTGGACATTTATAGATTGACATTGGACATGTTTAAGTGGACATTGGATATTTTAAAGTTAGCTCTGGAAATCTTTAGATTAACTGGTTGCAAGTATTACAAAATACATCAGGTTTACTAAAAACAAAAATTGTCAATTTATCATATCTGATATTAAAATATATACAACCATTATCAACACGTCTGGAAAATGTTTTCGAATATAACGAAAACATAGAGTATATCTTCTTTTAAAGATATATACACTGACAGTATACAGCCTTCCGATAAATAAATGAACACCCACTCGAAAAAGAATGACACTTTACGAAACAAACAGACTACAAGACGACATTAGTGTTTAATGGTTCTGCTGTTTGCAGATTTTCAGTATATATATATATGGTTACACACCCTATTTACAAGATCTAAAATATTGGCCCCACTGCTGGATCATTGTTTTTTGTCTCTAGACGTTTTATTTGTATGGGAACGATCAAGAGTGGACCAAACATGATCGACAAAGTTCTTATCCGACGACTGACCTGGCTACGGGAGAGTGGTTAATGTCTTGACCTTCAAGCCATTGTTTTGTGACTCTAGATGAATGAACAAGAGCCTCAAAATGCACGATATCATCACCTTGTCATTTGTGCAGACAGACAGGACGCCTTTCCTTAGAACGTTGTATCACATACGAGTAAGCTGTGAGAGTACAGATACCCAAATGCTACCCCACACCATAACAGAAACACCAATGTGACTTGTAGAAGCCTTTCCTCAGAACGATGCATCACATACCACTAAGCTGTGAGCGTCCAGATGCCCATATGCTACCTCACACCATAACAGAAACACCAATGTGACTTGTAGAAGCCTTTCCTCAGAACGATGCATCATATACCAGTAAGCTGTTAGTGTCCAGATATCCAACTGCTACCCCACACCATAACAGAAACACCAATGTGACTTGTAGAAGCCTTTCCTCAGAATGATGCATCACATACCACTAAGCTGTGAGCGTCCAGATATCCAACTGCTACCCCACACCATAACAGAAACACCAATGTGACTTGTAGAAGCCTTTCCTCAGAACGATGTCTCACATACCACTAAGCTGTTAATGTCCAGATTCCCAAATGCCACCCCACACCATAAAAGAAACATCGCCGTCTCATGTCGTGACTTGCAGACGGTTCAGGAAAAGTTCCTAGAAGTATAGTCACCCAAACTAATTGCCTTCATAGTTCGAGAGTTGTGAAAAATTCGAACTGATCAGAAAATATGACAGTGTTTCTTAAGGCAGAATGTGTGATAGCGTATTTGATGTATATTGTATACTGTTGTCAACGTACTGTTGGTTGTGGGCGCCCGGACCGTGCAGAAACTGTTGTTTTACAACGTGTCTGTATCAACGTTATCATCTTATTCATTGTACACAGGAGCATTGCATGTGACCTCTAGACAGCAATATTGGATGCGACTTCTGACCAGCTGTATTGCAAATGACCTGTAGACAGTGGTATTAAAACTGACCTCTAGACAGCGATATTGGATGTGATCTCTGTACAACTGTATTGCATATTAATTGTAGACAGCAGTATTAAAGTGATTTTTGGACAGCAGCACTGTAAGTGACCCATGGACAGCGGTATTACCAGTAACCTGTGGACAGCAGTATTGCAAATAATTGTTCTACAATCATCCAACTATGCTACCTCTTGAAAATACGACTAATTCTCGGGATCTTTCCGTTCGTGGCATTACTGTTTACTCGAACTATATCTGTATTTATACGTCAGGATATTTGCATATGACGTCATAAAGATGGTAGATTTTTTTGAAAAGTACAAAATATTTTATGTTTGTTTGTTATTAAGCACAAAGCTACACAATGGGCTATCTGTGCTCCGCCCACCACGGGTATCGAAACCCGGATTCTACCGTTGTAAGTCCGCAGACATTACCGCTGTGCCACTGGGGGGTGGGGCAATATTTTATGAATTTAAACTATAATAATTTGCTGGTGGAAAATTTAAAGGATGTTTTTATTTGGGGATATTTTTTTTTACTGTGGTTTACTTTTTGTTCTTTGAGGCACATTGATTAATTCATTTCTGTTTTGTTTTTTTTTAAAAAGATCGAGTCTGTTACGTTTGAAAATTTGGTATCCTCGGATGATCGAAACTACTTATTCTCATCAGCCCAAATATGAGGTAAATATTTCACGTATTTTTTTCATCTTCTCTAAAGTATATATTTTAATATGTATTCTCACGTTAACGATATGATTAAGTAGGTATTGAGCAGAAGGTCCTGTAATTGTTAGCCATTAAGCTCATTTTTTTAATGATAAATTTAAAACTGGACTCTGTTTGGCATGTATATGTTATTCCACTAACTGCGGATATGCTCTCACTTAAGAGATAGCTCCCTTTTAATCCATGATATCGAAATATGTACAACATTGTTGCTGTAATAAAATTTACTCTTCCTGGTCAGAAACGTTTATTATCTGGTACAAAAGGTATATCCTTTTACGTGACTCAATCCAATAATATCTTGTTTTATATCCTTTTACGTGACTCAATCCAGTAACATCTTGTTTACTACGTGACTCAATCCAATAATATCGTGTTTGATATCCTTTTACGTGACTCAATCCAGTAACATCTTGTTTTATATCCTTTTACGTGACTCAATCCAGTAACATCTTGTTTTACATTCTTTTACGTGATTTAATCCAATAATATATTGTTTTATATCCTTTTACGTGGCTCAATCTAGTAACATCTTGTTTACTATGTGACTCAATCCAGTAACATCTTGTTTTATATCCTTTTACGTGACTCAATCCAGGAATATCTTGTTTTATATCCTTTTACGTGACTCAATCCAGGAACATCTTGTTTTATATCCTTTTACCTGACTCAATTCAGTAATATCTTGTTTACTACGTGACTCAATCCAATAATATCTTGTTTATATCCTTTTACGTGATTCAATCCAGTAATATCTTGTTTACTATGTAACTCAATCCAATGATATCTTATTTTATATCCTTTTACGTGACTCAGTCCAGTAACGTCTTGTTTTGTTTTGTTTTTTGTCAGGGTATAGAACTTTTTGGAGCCCTCGGAGGATACATTGGGCTGTGGTTAGGAGTTTCCTTGACTACCCTGTACGACATTTTGGTACCACTATGCGCTCGAGGACTCAGAGCCATGAATAACTTTCTGTTTAAGGAGTAATCGACTCAATTTTTATCGAAAATTTTCGTCGACATTCAACACTCTCACTTAGTCGGTGCCCTCACTTAATGACGTCATATACCTCCATTTTGTCTTCGGGTAATCTCTTCTTGGCTGCCTTCAAATATTTCAGTTATTCTTTGATCAAGACGTTTTAGAAAGTTTCGTAATAGATCATCTGTTCCATTCGTAGATTGTAAGTTAATTAGTCTATGGATATGATGTGCAGGATGAATATCTAAAGATTGAATGTTTTAGATTAACATGAAAAAAAGTCCATATCAGGAGTACGTAGATTTAAATGTAATCTCAATGTATGCACAATTACATGAATAAACAGCTATACAGTCAAATTGTAATAAACGAAATATTAATTTTACTCACTCAGACACTTGTTTGTTGTAAGGACTGAATTCACAATCACACTGTCCGCTTTCGGTTGGATATATAACTTTAGTTAATGTTTTTATATATCTAGAGTTAACACAGAAAACAGTACTTTAAGTAGATTGTAAGTTGAACTAGTAAACGAATATTCATGACAGTAGGTCATGCAGTGCTATACACACATTGAAAGTATAATACATAAAATGTTAAACTTTAGTATTTATTCAAAACGTCTTGTTTATTATTGAAATTGAAGTGAAACTGTAAACTTGAACATAATGTTAACGCAGAACTAATAATGTTTGGTTGTTTTAGAGCAAGGACATATTGGGCTATCTGCCGTGTCCACCGCGGTGAATCGAACGCCGAATTTTAGCGTTGAAAAGTCGGTAGACTTACCGCTGTCCCTGCGGGAGACGAACTAATATTGCGTTAAGAACCATAGCCCCGATGGCTCAGCGGTAAGTTTCTGAGCTAATAACGCTAAAAAACAAGTTTTGATACCCGCGGTGTGCAGTGAACGGATGATAGCTCATTGCGCATGTCAAAAAAAGTGAGCGGAATAGCATTTTTTTTTACAATATAAATTTTAATGAACAAGATAGGCCCAAACAAAAAAACGACATTGAAGACGCTACATAAGTTAAAAAGGTTCCCAGGGTACAGGCTATGACGTAGGATATACCCTGGGGATCCTTATAATTTATGCAGCATCTTCAATGGTTTGTTCATTAAAAGGTCGATCATCTCAAGTTTTGATTTGCTGTTTTTAAAGCAGTCTTTCCTTTTGATGTTAATATTTGCTTAACTGTTTAAGTACTAATTTTCTACACACACACACACATATATATTTAGATCGAGTTTTTTTATGTTAACACAAAAAGTTGGTCCTCCTATGTAGACTGTACGCTAAGCTAGTATTCGTTGATGATTACCTGCCACTAGTATCGCATATTTGGAACTACCCGCCCCCTAGTGACAAACTTTGGAACTATCCTTGTAGTGACTTATTTTGGAACTATCCACCCTTTGGTGCCACTCTGTGGAACTATTATGTCACGTGAGCTTCCTCGTCTCAAAATATAATCCTCACCAACTCTTGGGTTACTCTAATCAACACTATCCATCATCAACAACTCTTGATTATCTAATCAACATCATCTACCGCTACCAAATCTTGGGTTACTCTAATTAACATCATCCACCACCACCTACTCTTGGGGGACTTTAATTAACATCATCCACCATCACCAACTCTTGGGTTACTCTAATCAACACTATCCATCATCAACAACTCTTGATTATCTAATTAACATCATCCACCACCACCTACTCTTGGATTACTCTAATCAACACTATCCATCATCAACAACTCTTGAT